GGGGTTGTGCCGTGGGGCGGAGCGGGACCTGCCGGGCGCGGCTGCCCGAGGGGGGCCCTCCCAGAAGAACAGGAAACTCCAGGTAGGAGTTTTAATTCATTGAGCCCAGGATGGGTTTTGTTGGCTTGTTTTACTTTTAATTCAAGCACGTGTCCCTGCTTCTAGCTGGTGGTAACAGCTGCCCAAGAAACATTATGAATGGGACGAAAATGATTTAGGCGACTGAGGTGTTTGCTGGCAGGGCAGGAAACGACAGGAGAGCGGACACCCACCGCGCTGTGCCTGTGTGAAAACCTTTTCCGAACCTGCGCTTGTAGAGGACGGGGTCGGGGAGAGGGGGTCAGTTCCTCGCTCTCAGTTCTCCACTGCAGGCTGCTATTAATAGTTTCTAAGTGGTAACCTTTGATATTGGATAGATGATTTATTTTAAATGAAAATCTTGCTTTTGGCCCTTTGGCTTTGAACAGTAATCCAGTAGCGGACCGTGTAAGAGGGGTTTGTACCATGCGCTAATTTCTGGCGTGTTCATTGTCACAATGCATTTGCATATTTATTTTACTTGAAGTTGAATGTTGTGTTTCAGGGAGCCTGTTTCCAGACAGAGTTTGTGCTGGCATTTCATTTAGTGCAGAGGAAAAAAATCTTACTCATTGAATGTGAGAAATAATTTGGAGAAAAGGATAAATCCTTTGGATTTTTAATCTTTGAGATTGGCAAAATATTGGCCTGTTCTAGTTTGTGGCCTAATATTTGCAAAATATTGGCAAAACTTCTAGTTCCACTTAGGAGAACGTAGCTATGGGAGAAAATCAGAGGAGCTGATAATCAGAAATAAAGATTACAAGTCAAGAATTCAAAGGCAGGAGGTCCTGAGTGCTTGCGTTTTTGTACCTACAGCTCTGCTTTGTAAAGTAACTTAAAAGAAAGTATGGATTTGATCCCTATATAAAATCACAGAGTACTTGGTGTATGGATCAAAATAGAGAGAAAACTACATCAAATCCATACTTTCTTTTAAGTCACTTTATAAAAGAGAGTTGTGGGTACAAAAACTGAAAGGCAGGAGGTGCTGAGTGCTTGCATTTTTTCTTGACTTCCCCCTAATCCAAATATATTTCCAGGCTACATATTGCAGACAGTTATGGTCAGAAGAGGATATAGCATATCACATGACACTTTCCACACATGAATATCAAGGTGGTGTTGCTAATAAAGTGGCCGTCGTCTTAACCAGTTTATTAACTTTTGGAACAATCTGTACGCTGGAAGTATACACCGAGAGAGAACTGTGTGTTAAGACTGTTTTGAATAATATCTGCCTAAGAAATATTTTCTCTAATAGCAGTTTTTGGAAGACTTTGTAAAGGGGGATTTACGTTCTTAAATGGAAGAAAGCAGACACACTGGTCTACACAGTATTGCAACACTCAGCTTTGAAGCTGTCAAGAGATGGTGCCATTTTCCAGCTGTTCTAATGTCTGAAGCAAGCTGGAACCTATGTGAAAAAAAACTAGGTCAGACAATCTGACAATGAGGTGACGATGGCATGCAGAGGAAAGCATTTCCGGAAGTAGTAGGAGCTATGACCTCACGTTGTATTGAGGAGTAAGTCCACTGTCAGTGTGATCAAGGTGTTATGCAGTTGCTGATTTCTGTTGGCACCAACACTGCTCCTGAACAATCCAACAGAAATAATAGCCAGAAATGCTCTTCATCTTCATACAGCTGGGACACTTTATCCTTTCCTTTCAGATGAAGACATAACCAACATGCCCTATGTAGTTATCACTTCTGGGCTGATACAGTGTATTCTATTTGGAGTTGACCATAAGGTTTATATTGAAGTTGCAGGAATGAAGTATTCCACATTTCAGTAAGGACAGACAGATCCTTGGTCTCTCCGGTTCTGCATTACAGGGTTCCAACCTTTATCTTAACAAGACTTAGCTGGCAAGAGTCAAGGTACCTCTTAGGTCACATCTGCTTCTCTCTATTCTGTTCCAGCAGCTGAAATAGTGTAGGAAGTTGTGGTTTAGTACTGCTTTTTCACTTAGAGACATTGGTTTGTATTTTGATATCACCCTAAATTAAGATTGGCCAGTGTCTTGGTACATGAAGTCTTGGCAGAATTAGTCCAAGGGGACCTTCAACAAGTTAGACAACATCAGCCCTATCTCACCTCACTGTTTCTCCTGCACTGTGGCCTTTAGGATTGATCCCATGAGAAAGGCAGATGATGTGTGAGAAGAGGCTACTTTTTCATGCAGAAGATGTTATCTTAGTTTTGGACACAGCACTAAAACAATACAGTAATGTCCTTGTTAAGAATCTCTTAATATAGTTTATTATTATAGAGTATCTTCAAAATAATCTAAGTCACCATTATAATAGCTGCCAAGTTTATTTTACTACAGTATAAAGACTTTGGCTATAATGTAGAACTACGTACACATTTACCTTTGAGCTAGAGATAGAAATATCTATCAATCTGTCACTAGCTCAGTCATTTCATGTAAATTTGGGGGAGGAACAGTTTCTCTCGTGATCTGAAATCAGCAAAAATGTGAGACAGCTTTTTAATGACTAAATGCAGTATATGGATTAGTGGGCAGATGCTCAGCTGGTGTAAATTGCTATAGCTCCTCTGATCTCCCCTCATTAGCCTCAGTTGAGCCAGGACAATTTGTACTAGGTGAAGTTGTACCCAAGCCCCGCAGTCCTTTCATTAGTTTCAAACCAGGCATTCATCTTTTATTTTACAAGCTGCAGTTCAATAAAGTTATGATCTGAACATAAGCAGAACTCAAGTGATGAGCAGTGAGCAGGATGGGATACTGTTCCTTTCCTTTGTCTTCCCCTCAGCTTTATTAAACTCTGCTTTTATTTAATTCTTTTAGCATGGGGAGCTGGCTTTTCCTCCCCTCAGAACCTTGGCCACAAGTAATAAGTTTCCAAGTCTCAAAATATGGTTTCCTAATAGAAAGGAATCTTCTCTGCGAGTTGATCACAAAAAGGAGACAGATGGTAAACATAACATAGCCTATGCTGTAAAAGGCTTATTTATAACTCACAGTTGCCAGTAAGACAGTAGGGGGGCCTACTGAAAAGAGGAATTACTGAGGAACTGGCTAGTTCTTATCCTAGTTTTCTATTCCATTGTCTGTAAAAGTAGTGTTCTATTTAGAGGTACAGTGAAAATGGACTAGATCCCTACCTAGGCATCTTCCATTTTTAGCAGATATAGAGACATTCACTAATCTATCGATAAATAAAGGTTTCCATGCTTTCAAACAAATACAAGCAGAGCACACAAATTTAGAAATAAGGACAGTTACTTATGTATTAGATTTGTATGCTGCCTTCCCAACAAGTAGCAACTTGCAGTAAATGTTAGCAGAAGGTTGGGGGGTGGGGGCCATAGACTTATGAAAGCAGGTAGAGTATTAAAAGTAAGATATAAACATAAAAACTTCCCAAACAATATCCAGAAACTTAGCCTTGCTCCCCAAGTGTGATATTCAGTTTTAACATAATTGCTCTTGATTTTCGTGCTACCTTAATCTGCCTGGGATTTCTATCGATGACAGAGAAAGTATTTTGAAAAGATATAGCATGATTTAATAAAGGCTCTGAATATATGGGAATACAGTACGTTTAAAATAGGCAGATTTTAGGACTTAAGAGTTGGTACAAGATAAATCGTTGATGTTTCCTTGATAGCTTTCTACATTTATATAATTATGAATACTAATGAGTTTGTGCTGAGTGAAAGAAAAGCTGAAAAAGTAATGTCTTTCCCTGCTAGGATTACATCACATTTAGGTTAACACTTTTCTATTTAGAACAAATGAGATAAGCAAGTTATGTTTGGAAACAGTCAACCTGATTTCTTTTCAACAACCCTACTCAGTGACTCAGATATTCTCGCAAAACAACTAATCCAATAGCATTGCCTAATCTACTACCCAATTTTCCATGCATTTTGTAATACTGATACAGCAACAGAGCTGAAATGTTCATTTTAGTCTTTTGAGAAATCATTTTCTCCATGATGTCCAACCAGTCTATTCTAAATTATGGTGTTTGTTCTGCTATTCAGTTCCTGAGGAAGAACTAGACCTGTAAATCTCAGGATGGAAATTTGGCTCCCCTTCCTGAGAGGTGGAACAGTCCAGGGAGTGTGATTAACAACAGTAAAATATTAGATTAAAATTTCCCGAGATATTGCTTTACATTACCGAAGGACTGGAACATGAAATAACTTTATAGATGAACGTCATGTAGGCAAGTGATGGGTTGCTGTGACTGGAGAGTCCAAGAAGAAAAATCATCAATGGAGTTTCTCTCCATCGTACCTTTGGTCACTATTCTAATGATGGGTGTTCTACAGAAAGAAATTTCCAGTGGGAGGGAGGGGTCCTACCATGAGGTACCAAGTAACTGTGGAGTGGAACAGTAACTGTGACTTCAGGAAAACAAATTTCACTTGAAAAACTAAGAACACATAAAAATAACAACTTAGCTTCCAGTTATAGAGGAAAACATACAGGCTTCTGGCTTCATTTTTGTTGCAGAACTCTCCCTGGTAAATTTTCTTTTTTCAAATGTGGGATACACAACTGTAAGACATTTAGAATTAGTAATAGTTTCTGTGCGAAGGGGATCAGTGAAGGCATTAATAGCAAGATGTGATTTTTATTAAAGAAGCACTTGTCACACTTTTTTGATAAATTACCCTTTGATCGTGCTGTTTTTCTAACTATTACTAGTATTTTGGGGAATGCTGTAACATGTTTTAGTAGAACATTTTTATCCCTATCTGGAGTCCTCAGAACTTCTTGGTTTAGTTCTCAGTCTTCTAGAGAGATTGTGTGGATTCTCTCCAATCTTTTTTTCATTAAGTATTGCTGATATGGTAGGAGATTCCAGCAGCATTGGATGAAGTCACTCAAATAAATTCTCTTCCTTTTTTGTGAAAGATTATAATTAGTAGTATCAGACAATTGCTCGTCACTTATAAGGCGGGCTCTTGGGCAGCATTGTTCTTTTCTACCATTCCTGTTCGAGGAAGATGTATCATTA